TTTGTGAAAGTCGAAACAAATACGAAGGAAACTAACTAAAAACAAATTTTAATATCCTATTGATTATATATATTCGAAATATATATTAAAGATCATATTATTTGAAATTTAAAATTAAAATAACCATTTTTATTTTTATTTTTTTCAACGCCATCAAATAACCATTTTTATGCTTGAAATGTTTTATTTTCATCAAATAACCGTTTCTATGTTTGTAATTTTAGTATAAGGTTATTCAATATATGTTATGTATCTAAATCTCAACGCAACCATCACGATGGCAAATGAATGGCTCAATGCCCGTCACTCTCCACCTGAAACAAACTAGAAAAAACAGAACATGTCACTAACAAATTAAGAAGCGGACCTGTGGACTTGTCAATCCGACGCTGCTTGGGAATCGGAAAGTAACATTGTTGGTTTATGGTGGATCATCAAGAGGCAAGGAAACAGAACCATGGAACAAAGCATCACTAATTAATATGTGAGCTCCTCTTTCCCCCTCCCCCCCTTTATTGTCGAGGTATTAGTTTTAAGAAACGCTATAGTTTATGCTTGGGTAAAGTGGTTCAAAAAATTGAGATTTGAATCTGATTCATCTCAATTCATCAATGCCATCAATTCAAGAACGTTTCTTCTGAACTTATATGACATCATCAAAGATATGAAGGCTCTTGCCCAATCCTTCGAACAAGTCAATTTTATTTGTATTTCTAAAGAACTCAATGTAAAGGTGGATAGCCTTGCAAAACTAGTTCCTAGCCAAGTGCTTGTAATGTCGAGATAATATGAATGAAAATTCATCTTTTGAACCAAAAAAACAAAAAAAGTTATGTATCTAAATAAAACATTATAAAGACCATAGGTAAACTTTAATATCCCATTGGTTACAATATAAAATGCTTTTATTTAAATATATCGTATTGTATATGTATAATATACGTTTTTATATTTTCTAAATTAAAGTCTTACAAAAACAGTTTTTACGTTTTCAAACGCTTCGGTTTTATACGTAGAAGTGGATATAAATATTATCTAAACAAAACCCCTCATTGTGTCGTGCACGGTTTGAAAAACAAAACCCCTCATTATCTAAACAAGTAATAAGTAACCTAA